TACAATCTAATGGTCTCTCTCAGATGTTATATACTCTGGTGATACATCATTGAAAAGTGTCAGTTTAACAAAGAATGTGTCTTAGCTCTTGCTGGGATGGTAGAACACACTTGCTTTGTCTCACCACAGCCCTGCCCATTAAAAACAATGAAATAGAATCAATTGTGTTTTTCAGAACACACATACACACAATCAAAACTGAAAAAAAAAAAAACATTCTGGCAATTTTTATCTCAGTCAAAACTTACTAACAAAATATTGTACTTTATTGCTCTCTTTTTTATCTTTTAAAATGAGAATGCCTAGATTTAATTTTATAAAACAGAAAACAGAATTTACTTTAGGAATTCAGAATCTAGTATTAATTTATCCATAAGCAGGGTATAAATAATAAGTTCATCATGGAGAGCTGCATCGTCATCCTCTGCATAATAGCCATATTCCATTATGGGCTGAGCCTTATGGCAGATGAGATCGTCTGTATCCTAAAAATTTGCAGTAACTCAATGTAATATTACTATTCATAACCAAAGAGAACCTCAAAATGACCTAAAATTGCTGATGTTCTAAACAGAACAGAAAACACCATGATGTTTTTGATATTTAGTTCTCTAGGTTCAGACTAAAAGGAATCAGTAAGACTCTAAGATCTGTAGATGATAATAATAAAAGCAACAACACAGATAACACTTGCTGAGAGCCAACAGTGTGCCAAGTGCTCTCTATTATCTCCTTTAATCCTAATAACCACCTGTGACTTAGGTTCTATTGGGATAAGACATTTGCTCAATGTCACATACTAGTAAAAGATGGAGCCAAGGCTTAAATGCACAGCTCCCTGTTCCCAAAGCCCATGCTTGTCACCATTACACTGTGTCCTCCTTGCTTCATCTTATATTTAGCAAAATATTACTCACAGAGGAGAATTGGCTTAATGAGCATCTTCCAGAGAGTTTAGAGAAAAGCTAAACTGAAAATTAGGCCTCCAGATTTCCTGAAGAAGGGAATTTCTTAATATGTTGTACTGCTTTGGTTTATTGAAGTCCCCCAAATGTTTTGAACAAAAGATAATATTATCGAATAAATTTGCCACTAGATCTCAATGATTCACCTAATTATGTTGTAACTTAATATTAAATTAAACAATGTTTCTTGATGTCTAGGCATAGTGCTTTGTTCTGAAAATATAATAATCATTGGCATTAATCCCTCATCTTCATTCATTCATTCATTCAATAAATGTTTACTGAGTCCTATATACCAGAATTTGTATTGTGTTCTAGTTAAATAATATTTTGAAACATTTCATTTATTGATTCATTCAGTGCATACTTTTTGAATACCTGTTAGTTGCCAGTTATGATGCTAGGCACAGGAGATTCAATGGTAACAAGACACAATCCCTGACCTCAAGGAGCTTATGATGTATATGCAAAGGCAAGCAAGTAAATAGGAAATTAAATATAACACATGCTACGATAGTACAGCATGCTGTGGGAGTACATAGGAAAGGCACCCAGAGAGAGTCAATCTAAGTTAAGACCTAAATAACAATAGATGATATGAAGGAAAAGAGAGTAGGGAAGAACATTCTAGGCAAAAGAAATCAAATTTTAGAATTTACAATTGAACCATAAAAAGCAGTGAAAAATTCAACATTCATTTATTTATAATTATTCATTAATTTACCAAATTTTATTGAAAAAATAACACCAAATTTTTTCTTTGTCTATTATCACTTACATAAAACATTCAATATATTTGACATATGAATAAATGAATGAGGGTTATTACATGTTGTATTGAATATCTATTGCATAACTCACTAGTCTATTCTTTTGAGAAATAACCCTGACAATCTCTATTCACATATCTTCTTTTTTTGGTAAAGTATTGATAAAAAATGAAGAATTTGAATCCACAAATTGACACCATAGTTACATAGACCCTTGAGGCTGACACATGAAATTGTGTTTAACTCAAGTCTTGTTATTCAGGATAATAAGAGTGGGAGCTATGCTCTGGAATTGTGCTATCCAATGTGTGAACCACTAACCATAACTATTTACACTTAAATTTATATTAATTTAAATTAAACAAGTTAAAAATTCAACTTCTCAATCATACTAGTCACATTTTAAGTGCTCAAAAGCCTTATGCTACCATGTTGAACAGTACAGAGAACATTTTTACCACTGCAGAAAGTTGTTAGTCCTGTTCTAAAAATTTAGATTATAAGTTTTACTAGATGATGGATAATTATCACAGAATAGTGTTGAAAGAATAATAGTTGCTCATTAAATAGTTATTAATATTTTAAAATTTAGCCTTATTCTTTTTTAATGGCAAAGTTTCATTTGTGAAAGTAGAAATCAACATTTACATAAATCTTTTAACATATTTTTGTAGTAATCAAGGTAAAAATTTGATTAATGGACTGACAGTCACTTTCCTGAATCTGTAATACCAGAAAATTTCCCAGCTGTTGCTGCAGTATGGCTGTTTAGGCAGGACTGACAAAACAATCTCAAAGTGACAAATTTCAATTTCATAACCCCTCATGTTGCATTGCCCACTTTCTGGTGGAGGTGCTAATGAGTAGTATCACTGCCAAGAGTGCATAAAGCAAAGGGGAGAAGGAGATGCCAAGGCTTTGCAGAATCTACTTTGAATAATGAAAAATTAAATATCATTCATCTTAAACTGATTTTCCAGACACAGTGCCAAGAGGCAGACAAGTAACTCTATATGCTTTATATTGGAATCTAAAGGAGTTTCATGGGGGGATGATCACCACCTGCATCTGAATTTAACTCATTTTATGAATAGTCTCTCCTCCACCCATTAGAATGTGTATAATTACTTTAAATGTGTCCACTATACTGGTTTATATAGCTTATAGTTGTACCAGCTCAACAATATCCAAATGATCATAAGATAATAAAGTAGAGCAGAGTTAGAAGATCAATTATCACTAAGCATCAGTTTGTTTATTAATTTACCTCATTCTAGAAAGAATTAAAAATAGCCAAGAGTAACCAATGAAAGTAATCCAAAATGCTGTTTTGCGATACAAAAGACATATTTGATAAATAGTGACACATTCGATAAGTTAAGAATACAATCTAAACAACAACACATGAGTGGATATATTTACCTCTCAAGTTAGTAAAATCTTTTATGAAATAAGAAAACCTAATTCTGATGCAGATAGAATAACCCTCTTACACGCTTGCTATTGAGAATATAAATTAGTACAACTGTTAGGAAAACTGTTTATCAGTATGTACCAAAGTCTTTAAAGTAGTTATGCCCTTTGACATATTATTTTCACCCCTCAAAATATCATAAATTAATAATCTATGAAATAGGGAACCTGTGTTCAAAAAGATATTCTTTGAAGTGTTTACACCCAAATTTGAAACAACCTAAAATTGGGAAATGATTAAGTAAATCATGCTAAATGCAGAGTCCTTAAAAATATGTTAACAGAGTTTTAATAACATGGGAAAATGCTTAATTGCTTGCTTAAATTAATGCTTTAATTTAAGAAAAGAAGAATTACATAATTATATATTGACATAAGCTCAATGATATAAAGACTGTATAAGAAATATGCAAAATATTTTAACAATGGTTTTCCCTAAATTATAACATATTATTCTTTCTAATTCTTTTAATTTTCTAAAGTTTTACAAAGAATGTGGTAATTCTGCAATTGGCAAAATTAAGTAGTCATTCAGAATAATTCATAAAGCAAAATGTTAATTAAATTACATTGCATATAATTTCACCAGATCTACTGGAAGTAGATATATAAACAGAGTTTAATGGGAGTCAATTTTAGTAAAGGAGAGGTGGTGATTGTGGGTTATATCTCAAAAGTCATTAAGATATAGACAGATGCTTACAACACAACAATCTAGAAGATAGGAAGCAGCAATGACCTGGAACTTTATCCTCCCACTGGTACAGAGCAATTTTTCTGAGAAATAAACAGAGCACCATGTGTTGTTTACAGAATATTTTCATCATAATGTGTGCTGAAGAGAGCACAGACTTTGGAACAAAAGACTGTACCAACTACTAGTTATATATAACATGTTTATAAATTAAAAACTACTTACACATACACACACACAATTACCTACCTTGTGTGGTTGTTACAAGGATTGAAAGAATTTATGTAGGTATCTACCATGATGCCTGATAACAAAACGTATTCAATTGAAATAGCTACAAGCTTGGCTTCTGAGGGGTTATAGGGTCACTGGTTGCAGAACAGAAAAATATTTAGCAATCAGGAATGTACAATGAAGTCCCAAGAATCCCAACACAGATGATGTGGAGTTTGAGATGAGCAATATTCAGAAATCCGTGCAGGCAGGCAACACTAGGGGATTCTATCAATGAGTAATATTAGCTAAAATAATGGATTGAGAGTGTCTGAGTTTAACAAATAACTTTGTAAGTATTAAAAATTAAAATCCCAACATCCTTATAACCAGTAATAGGATTTAAGCTTAAAAAATATCTATCTAGCCCAAGTGATACAGGTGCTTTCAGAAGTGCAAGGTTCAGCTGTATCCCTTGTCTTGCTATGCATAATATAAGCTCTTTGGCCTGGGATTTATGACATTATACAGTCTGGTCCAACTGGGCTTTCACCTTTGTGAACATCATGTACATACTTTATACTTTGGACAGACTAAACTATTTACTCTATGTATGCTCCTTTGTATGTTCCTTTGCCCCTTTATAAATTTCCTCTGCTCATTATTTTCTTGAATCAACAACCAAACGAATGAACAATTAAAAAGATAAACTTGTAGTATCAAATTATCCACTATTTTGCTTAAAGCATTGGGGAAAAAAACAGCCTAGAAGTCCCTGACTCTCTGTTGATGTTGCATAGATTAATTTTTGATGACTTTTTTGTTCAAATGTTTCTTGAAATAAACATGTGAATTTCAAACCTGACATGACCGTTTGCTTTGCAGCGGCTGCAGCAGCAGACATGGCTTACCACCACATCAGACCTCCCATTGGCTATTCTATTCCCAAGCCCATATCCTCTCTGCTGATGCGAGGGTGGAATGCATGTCCTGAAGTGAGTAATTTTTATTTCCTCTTAGAAAATGTGTTATGGTCAAAATCTGTCACAAATAGTGTAACTCCAAAGTCTACTTTCAGTGTGTATTTTAAGACTGTCAAGGCGGGAAGACTGATTTGCCTTCTGCTCTTTAGTCTCTAATTGCCTCAAGAAGTCTGACTATCTCATATTTCTTTGCTGTTGCTCTCTGATTTTGAAATGTTTCTCTCAACTGATTAGTAAAAGAGAGACCAGGGTATGACAGATGACTCACAGTCTCATCTCAGCTGCAATTTTATTAACTACGCTTGAGCCACACTTAGTCATTTTCTGAAGAAGGAAACTTGGCAAAAGATGGATTTGTGTTGGCTTTTAACCACGAGGCAGGCCTTCAGGCAAAGACTTTAGGACAAGTGGTCTTTAGTGGTTCTAGCTCAAGCAGGAGGCAGAAGACCTGGGTCCTACCCCTTTTCTAACTCTCTGAATGACTGAGTGATAATGCGGTTAACAGCATGGGCTCAAATGGAGGGATCAATGTTACAGAAGGAATGAGTAAAGTAGGATATGTAAACAAAGAAAAAGAAATTTTTAAATATGATCATGGATCTAAGAGAGTAGAGGGAAAATATCACATAATCACAGAATAAAATCCCATACCATCCGCCTGTAAGAAAGAATTCTTAAGTTTGTAGGGAGGTTGATGTCTGTTTTGTTCTCAGAGATTGACAGGGGAGATCCCACAACTTCTCTCCCGATAACAGGTTGGTCCAGGATCTAAAAATCCCTTTGCCAGTGTATTTTGTTGTATGTTAAAGTTCTTGTGTTTTATCATCAGTCCATTTATTCTTCTGCTCTGAGTGGAGGATATTAGTTTGCATTCTTCACACTGGAGAGTCTCATACCTAAAGGCCTAATGGTTCTTATTTGTCTAGTCCAAATCGTCCTAGTTATTATTGTCCTTTTCTTATACAACCTTGTTTCTGATCCTTCCTAGGCACTTAATCTCTCTTCAACAAAAGAATAGATAAAGTGAGGCTGTTATTATTTCAATAAATGTCTCACCAAAGGAGAAATTAGAATAAACCCCAGTCCAGATGTTTGGAAGGAGAAAACAAGTTTTCCATTCTGTTTCTAAAGGCAAAACCCAGATCCAGTAATTACCCAACCCTACTTGTGTACACAGAAACTCTTATGAAGAAAAATGAAGATTCATATGGGATATAGATTGAGTAACTCAGAAGATAACATTTTCTCCTGACGATTCAATCTTACGTATTATATGTTTATTTCTTTAAAATATACTTTCACTATCAAAATATTAGCTCCAGAAGAACAGAAAATTTTTATTTGTTTTGTTTTGTTTGCTGCTATAACCCCAGCACCTAGAACAGTACCTAGAAGATGCTCAAAATTATTTGTTGAGTAAATGAATGAATACCACTGTTGCTTATCAGTACCTCCAATTTCCACATGTGGATTTTATGTCCAGAAAGTTTCTTCTCTAATATTGTGTGACTTCAAATAGTTTGGGAAAGCCTTTTCTCATCTTTCAATATGAGCCTCAAGTATATTTTCTGAGAGTAAGTGTGTCAAGCGCCTAATCCAGAAGTGCCTCCTCTCTGTGGGATGTGAGCTATGTTGAAGTTTAACATAAAATAACAATCGAGGGAATCCCTTTCACATTTATTAACTGATTCTTCATGATTATAGATAAGGGACATGGGAAAGTTTTATTTTGGAGATAAAAACAAGTCATTGGCAGATTCTAAAAGCACTTTTTTGGGTAGAATGGGCAAATGCCTCAAACAAAAAGTTGGGAAATGAAAAACAGAAACTGAATAGGGTCAAAGGAAGGTACTATTAAGGAGGAAAAACATACTAAGAGGCCAAAAGTCTATTGCTTAGTGGAAAAGTTGTACTGCTAAGCAGTAAAGTTTATCAGCATGGAGTCTTTGCTCTAGTGAAAAGTTTCAGGAATAAAGATGAAGAAAAAGCACATTAGGAAAGAAAAATCTTCAGCTGGCTGGCAACATCTGAGCTTGTCAGTCAGTTGGGCCCTGGCTTGGCTGTGGTATCTACCTGCGTCTGCACGTGACATGATCGAGTCATCATCACATTGCCCAGTAAGGTCTTCACCATGTCAGTAGGCTGAGTAGTGAGGAAAAAGAACAATGGGCTATTTTTCATTCTTCTCTTCAACAATTATTCATTGAGTCTCTACTATGTACTGTCCACGGGTAGGTGTGGGGATTCAATGGAAATGTGCTTTCAGTGGAGTTTAAGGCCTAGTAGTCATATGGAGATTAATTAATTAAACACGTTTATAGTTACAAGCCAAGATTAAGAAAGACAAGATTTTATGAGAACACATACTGAAGGAACACTAAGTCGGAAGTCAGAGGACAAAGAGTTAGTGTAGTTCCCAGATGTAGAGGACACTTCGTCTGGGAACGGTTCCTTGTTGTTTTTCTCAAGAACATGCCTGTGGCCTTGCACGCAAAGCCAGGACGCCCTAACCCTGCAAACAGGAGGGGCTAGAGAGTTTAGATGCAAACATCTGCTCGCCGGAGACGAAACAACAAGGAACAGGGACGTGTTGAGTCGGGACAGTGTGGGAACAAAGAAATTGCGGTAGGATAGTTGCCAAACAGGCTGTGTTATAAATAAAGAAACTACAGCAAGAAGTTTGCTGCAGTCTTATACCATCTTTGTGTGTGTCTGTGTCTCTTTGTCTCTGTGTTCATTCCTCGGCCCCTAGAAACGGGCCACGTCACCAGACGTGGTGACACTTCAGCTGAGATCATAAGCATAAATAAGAGTTTGCTAATGAAGGGTTGGTGAGAGAGAAAAATAGTCCTAGTGAAGAGAACATGTGCAAATTCACTGGAAGAACAGACCCAAGAGAGAGAATTATTAGTCAGTAGAACACCGTAGCCACTAAGGGGTTAAATTTCTTATACCAGGCATCATTTGAAACACGTTCATCTTTAGATCTAAGACACTAACATCGTGTTATCCTGTTCATTACTTTCTAGGTTATCAATGTCACTACTATTTTTTTCTTTCATGTCTCTCTTTACCTCACTCCTTGAATTTGAGGCACCGTATTTTCTCCAGTGCATGTCTTCTTAGTCAAGACTCATAAAGATAGAACATAGAGGACAGTGAGAACACCAGCCTACTGAAAATGTTGTAAAATAGTGAGAGGTGAAAAAAGGTACTGATATTTAGATGGTATCAAATTTTGGAAAGCCTCAAAAACTGGAATAGGGAATTTGGACATGAAATTATAGGCAGTTATATGTTATGTTTACCTCTAAAGCAGTGAAAAGATACAACAAAAGTATTTTTTTTTTTTTTGGAAATTTCATCTGAGTTTGGTATGAAGAATTTATCCACTTACTCAAAAAATTGTTTGTAGTTCCTGCAGTGAATCAAGCGCTAAATTATCCTCTAGTGTTCGTTGGAATCGCTAGGCATTGTTTCTTAATGTGTGGGCTGCAAACTTTGGGTTCCAGATTCCCTGAAATGTTTATTAAAATGAAGATTTGGGGGCCCTACCCTAAGTCTACTGAATTAAAATCTCTGGGATGGAACCTGAGACTATGCATTTTTACAAGCACCCCAGGTGATTTGTGCCCAGTAAAGGTAGAGAACTAGAGGGTTGAAACTGAAGCAAAAGACACTAAAGTCAGAGCAGTTAGCTGGGCTGCTGTTAACAGTCATCCAGTTGATTACAACACACAGTCTACAATGGTTACAATGGGGATTTAGGGACAAGGGTAAACCTGAGAGCTATTTCAAAGGATACGTCATAAACAGGTGAAAGACTGGATTTCAGAAAGAGAGGAGAGAAGAGTCCAGGAGAACTGCCATCGCTGCCTTCTGAGAGTCAGCTAGTGACCAAGAACTCATTAGGCCCTTAGATACCAGGGATATTGTTGTCAGTGAGAGGGAAGAGAACCGAGCTAAGGGCCCTACAGTAAGGTGACAGCGCTTTTAAAAAATAGGAATAGGAAAAGGAAAGATAGCTACCAAGAAAAAAGTAATCTGATCTACAAAGCTAAGAGAGCTTTCAATTAGAATAAAGTTATCATGCAAGAGGTTGGTATATATGCCCTTCTCACCTCAAAGGTGCTTAACAAAATGAAGTGAGATCAGGGAATGTAGACAGACGGCATAGGAGTTAAGCTCAGGCAGAGAGGCTGAACAAAAATAGAGGGAAGAGTAGTTAGAGTTAAAAGCAAGAAAGTGTTGAATCTTAATGAGAAAAGAGGAAGAAAAGGGGTAATAAAGTCAGGGACTTTCAGAATAAGAAAGTTCTATCATTTAGCAATTCTGAATAGGAAGGGAAACTAAATAGGTGGGGCCTAATAAACTTTTAGGTTTTATAAAGCTTGTTTTTAAATAATAATATTATTAATATGCTAAATGTAGCCATAAAGATACAGAGACCTATACAAATATAGAGACAGGAGAAAAGGAAGTTTGTTTCCTTTTTAAGCTTTTTTTCCCCCACTAGAAAATGGGAAATATTATAACATCCTATATTGTGAAGATATGCTTTAAACATTTTACAGGGGTATCAGTAATAGAATTGTTTGTATATTTTTCACGTAAGTGTGGCTTTGACTGAGAGATGTTTATTCTGATATTGCTTTTAAATCTAATATTTACAAGCACATTTAATTCCTGTGCACAAGGAGGTGTACTCACACCAAACAATAGTGGCATGCTAAACTCAAGAGATCAAACCTTGAAAGCTACATGCTAATGGGTTATTCAGTTTTCAAAATCTTAAATTAATGACAATTGGCAATAAAGCTTGTTAAAATTCCTTTTGTTCAGGATCCATTGTGTTGATCTTGAAGCCCTGTTTGTTCTTCGAAAATGATTGAAGCTGAGATCTCCACCTAGTGGATTTATAGGATTTTTCAGAATTTACAGAAATAGCCTCCCATCCCCGGAAATCCTTATTTTTTTTTCTCTTAGAGAAATAACAGGTTTTAAAGACTTCT